TTTGCCGAACGAGCTTGATTTAAAATCCCAACATATATTTTACAACCAATATGCCAAAAATGGCATTAATCATCATCTGATTGTGGGATGGTAAGTAATGTAATCTGTCGTAAATAATTGAAACACATGCGCAATACTATTACGGCTAAAGGAAGTGCTGATTATAGGTCTTGAGGTCACGTATGGTGTATTTTAAAATTAAAACATTCTAATTTTGTATAATTTGAACTGGCCCGCGCTGCAAGAAATCTGACTGATTTAGTGTGAGTCTTTTAAAAGCAATAAACGTATAGCCTTTGCCAGGATCCGTGCAATCCTTTAAAAATTAAAAACTGATGTCAACTTTTGCTGTCTTAAACAACCTTTTGAGGTTCAGCTTAGGATGGGTACGGAAAACTGCTATTGAATGATGGTTTTCGGGCATGCGTAGTAAAGCAAGTGTTACTACTGGCATGCGCAGTTGATCAAGTGCTTATACTATAACACGAGGTCAGCTGAGGTGTAAAATACCATACACATCATCAGTACCAAATTGAAAATGAGGAAATATTTGACAGCCGTCAAAAAGTATAAAAAAAAGTTGGTAGCTGCATCCATTCTCAAGACGAGTAAGACGAGTAGTTTGGTTGTAGTTGTATTGCATAGTATAACAGTGCTGTGATGTGAATCGTGATGTGAAGTGAATCATGATGTGGTGCATCTTAAACAGTAAAGGAGAGAGAAAATAAATAAAGTAGTCACTTGCATGCTCGACACTTGTGCTCTTAAGAATCTTGCACTTTTTGCTTGAGAAGATATCTCCTTTACTTGTAACATTCAACCTCCCCCTAAAAGTGTTTTGTTTAGTTCTGCACAGCAATCCGAAACATTTCCGCTCGTTGGTGTTTCTGTCACACAATATAGTCTTCATGGAATGTAACCCTAAAGGAATTAAAAATTACGAGTATTGAGCCACATAAAAAAAACAGCAGTTTTCTAGGAGTGTCCGCCTTAAACTTTATTTCCTGATCTTTGAACATGATAGAGGAGCCAAAACGAAGAGAAAGTGTCTAGATGTGAAGAGAGACGGAAATATCGTAAATATATGGTCGATTCACTCTACCCCACTCGAGTGACCCAGTGATCCTTAAATAAAGACAGAAATATCTTGTTTCAGACCTGCCTTATAATTAGTTCCCTAATTCAGACCAATGTTAAAGGCAATGTTGATACGATTTTATTAGGCAGGATAGCTTCTTCTAAAAAAAAAAATACCCAATTCAAGGCTAGGTACCGGTGCAAAAACTATAAATCATTTGAAACAAAAATGGCCAAAATCGATACCCTTTTTCTGACCAAAACGACTAAGAAAAATCATACGTACCTTTGGGGCTGCACTTACCTATCTAGACCATTTAAGGGAGTACCCTCGGCAAGAAGAAAAGACGTATCAGTAGCTGTTGATAGATGACATAGCCGGATTAACTCAGTATAATGACAATTTGCATCATGTTAATTGCGATACAGATAGGTAGTGTCCATGACTTTGATCAGCGACGTTTAGAGACGAATGAAGTCCAGTCTTGAACAGTCGATTTTTACTAACGCCTAAAATTATCATTCTAAAAAAGTCAAAAGTCTTTTCTTGTCCGTTTCGGTTCCAAACGTAACCTCGTGAGGCGTTACATATGTAGGCGGGTGTGCCGCCCTGTGTGCAGGAGGATTTGTGGTGGTTGGTTCTGCGGTACAGTGTGCCCTACTGTGTGCTCTTATTCCTGTCAATATATCTGGGTCTCCCTTGGATAAAGTTCGCTTTGCCTTCCTTTGCCGAGCAATTCATGTTAAAGTTTTCGCTAATATTATATAGTCTTCGCTTCGCAGAGCAATCAGTTAGCTTTTTCAGCTTTAATTTGACTGTTGTTATAAAAAAATTATGTCTGCAGCCCGTATGTTTCTTTTCATTAAAGAACAATTGTTTATAAGTGCAATTTTGATGTATCTGTTAGGACGTCACTCAGTTTAGACTGAGTGACGTTGGTGACCGTATTAACGGGGTTCCACTGTATTGATAACTAGAAACTTATAAAATTACAGTCGTCAATAAATTTTGCAACGACAAGTGGACTGTACATTTGGGAAACTGCACTGCTGTGAATAAACGTTCTTCCACCAATTTTACACCACGACAAATAACAAACACATCTTTAATGACACTACCCTTTGTTTTTACCAGAGCTTTCTTGCTAGTTAACAATAGAAACTTGTACGTTGTGCCTGCAAAATCGTATATTAGCAAGCAATCAATACTGCAAATGTATTTCGAATACAAGTCAAGTAAAGTGCTGTTGGAACCAAGTTGTGTCTCCTCATTGACAGCCGTGGAAACATTGTCATTGAATATCCTTTGTTGCTAGGAAACCTTGACCACCTTTCCTTCCCGCAAGCCAAGGGGTTTTTCAGTGCTTTATGCCCCTCTCCACTCTTGCTCCCCCCGTCCCCGTCCCCCCTCCCCAACAAAAGAAAACTATATCGTTACGTTTTAACAGCTGACATCCTGTTTCTAACAATTCGATTACTCCATAAATAAATAAACAAACAAATAAATAAATAAATAAATAAATAAATAAATAAACAATGAATATAAGGCCTAGTCAAATCCCAACTCCTAGGAATCAAGAGCGAATAATCAAATTTTTAAATAGTAGAAATCTGACTAAATTTCCTTCACATAAAGATTTCCAAATATTTCTCTATATACATTCTAGTATTAAACTTAACGCTTTGGCAAAATCATTCGCAAATTGAATTGTGCTTTTAAACTTGCAGCTTTTTGCACTCGTTCATTAGTTTACTGTACAATTCTGGGATTTTATAATCACATTGCGTCCAATTTCTTTTCTTGAGTCTTCTTGGAAATTAAATTATCCAGTACAGTGTAATGCTTTTAAATCGACCTCCAAAACGTGGCTAAGAAATGAGTGAATGTTGACATTATGTGGACACTCTCCATCCATTGCACACTAATGGTTAAAATACTTTATAATAGCTCAACCAATCAGATTGCAGCATTTAAATTTATTTACTATACCGCTAAAATTTCACTAGTTGTTATTAATAATTTTATTATATTTTGATATAATAAAAATGCTTGTTAAAATTTGAAAATCAAAATCGTTATTATTTTGTACTTGTTAAGACTGCCAGGTCTTGGATCCAAACTAAAATGTACTGTATCTGATCAAATATAACCTTGACATGCAGAAAAACAGTCAGTAGTAACCCTTTTGTACTAGTTACAAGATTCTAATTCCCACAAATTATCAAATTCAAGATCCTTTCCTTCTCTTCCATTTCTTCCTTTTGCATCCTGTCTCTTTGTCTCCACCAATTCTTGAATTCGTTTTTTAGCATCGCCATATTCCTCCTTGCTAAAGTGGTGTTTTAGCATTGGTGCTCCACCCAAATATAAGGAGTCTGCAAAGCGAGCCAACTTCAGGAGTGACCAAGTGAAACCATCTGTGGCATGACCAGCAAGGGCAATCATCTGTATTTCATTGACAAGTGCATCCTGTGGTCCTACAAAACAGTACAATAATTAATATTGACTGCCATGTTGTGCTCAAATGAATACCACAGACAGCTCAGACTTTACTACTCACTGTTTCACCTTCAGGGAATTCAAATGCTTCAATGACAGCACGCCTGAGAAAGTCGTGTGGAATAGAGCAGTTTTTAATTAGCGTCATAAAACCAAAACCAAAGTAATCAGTTTGGCCAATCACAAAGGACGTAGACAATATGGACAGTAAACCAATCAATATATAGCCCGGTACTCAGCTATTGGATTTTTAGGCCAGGCTAGTGGATTCAGTTCTTTCATTGGCGAGTGGCTTGGGCAAGTAAATTTTTTTTGTGGGGGGTGGGGGGTAGGGGTGTGGAATGTTTGAGGAAGTTCAAATTAAAGCATAAAATTATTGTCAGTACAGGTATTTAACTTTAATTTTAAATTAATTAACCCTGATAGCAAGAAATGTTGTGGGGGGTAGTGAGAATTACTTTTTTGGGGCACAAACATCACAGTGACAGCTTGCCTGATGGGCAAGCTCTAAAACTGGTTTTCTTTGCACCCTGTTTGAATACTTCATTTTTTAACGTGAGCAATTATGATAAACCAAAATTTTTATTTTTCAAAACAACAGGAGCATGTAAACTTGAATCATGAATGAGATACAATCTACATGAACCTGTATCTGAAAGTGTACATTGTTTACCTCTCTATGATTGATTAAGAAAACCTAACAATAAAAAGTCACAACATTTCAACCTCTTGGAAGTCAACAAATGTGTGTTTCCAGTTTTCAAAGCAACAATAAAACAATTGGCTTACAATTCATCTGAATTGACCACAAATTGGCATAGCCCTCTTCGAGTGTGCATGTTGTGCATGCCTTTGTTGTGAAATGTTACTCAATCAGATCAAAAGTGCTCCAAACGTATTTGAAGCGACCATTTGAAAGGTATCTTAACAATAAAAGCATTCAACAACACAAGTGTTCAGAATTCAAGGCAAACAAAAACTCAAAAAATCGAAGCAGAAACGAAAAGAGATTGCTGATTGTGTAGTGATACTACATGTATGTTACAGGAATAATATAATCTCCTTCGCACAGGAGTGGGTAACCCACTTCAGGAATTTTCCCCAGATGGCTGCCTTTATTGCGACCCAGATGTGCTCCACCTAGTTTACGATTTCCTCCAGCTACTTTATTTTAATTTGAAAACCCTGAGTACATGAAGTAAATGCAGTATATTATGCAGACACCATAATGAATAGTGCAAGGAGTTGTTCCTCTTCTCAGGATTCTGCCTCAGACAGAGGGAAGAATTTTGAAAACACTGACAACATTGGCTTCATACAGTGTGTGCACCTGTCCATACAGGAATAGGGGCATGAAATGAGACCATTTTGTTATGAATTCCACAGTAACTGCTCTTACCATAGTGAGAGATTCAGATTATTGACAAAAGTTACCTGAATTTAAAGTAGGGTACTTCAAACAGGTTCCCATTAACATAGGTTTTTTCCCCAGCAATCCAAGTTTTACAAGGCTGTCAAATGTAGCTGAAACACAAGGGGGCTTGTGGTAATTTGATCCTTTTAGAATCCATTCCTCAACACTTCTGGGTTTGTCAGGATGTTTACGAGTATGTTCCACCATCTGATTGAACATACAGTTATCAAGGAATGAGTCTGTCGGTGTGAAATCAATGATCTGGCAGAAAAATTAATACATTAACAAATAATAACTCTATTCATGCAACCCTTACCAGTAAAATAATATTTTTTTTCTTATATAACTAAGAAAATTACTTCACTGTGATTGGCTGAGAGCTGGCAACTTTATCATTAATTTTTAATTTGCACTGCAGTGCAAATTAATTACACACATTCATAATATTCTCAGTCATATAATAAATGAGCAAAATTATTGTATGAAAGCTCAAGCAATTAAGGATTTACACTAGCTACTTGTGAAATAAGAAAATTATTTTGTAGTGTCACTCATAGTGTAAATTCTCAATAATTACACTTGCCTTCATATGATTACCTGTACTTACATGTAGAACAGTTATAGGCAGAAGAAACAATGGCATTACTACTTCTTCTGCCAACCTCCTGCCTACCCCTCCTAATGCCGTCGAATGAGCCAACAGAAATTAAAGTGCATATGAAGTAAAAAAATAATTGCTGCTTATTTGAAAGGCTTTTCAAAGTGAAGAAGAATGGTGTTTTTCTTTTTGGAATATCTTTTTTCGTTTTAAACCTCATAAAATTGTGCCCCGAGGGCTGGGCAATTAGCCGTCCCATATCTGCTGTCCCAAGAGCGAATCGAAACAAGCTCACAGCATTCAACTGTGCAGTTTTCAGCAACCCGTTGTAGAATTATATCTCATTCTTCTTCTTCCAGTACCAAGCTTGTTGTATACAAAACTGAAATATATAGATGACGAGTTTACTAAATCTTTCTCACCTCGATAACCGTTGTCTTGTATTTAATGCCCAGGCACGATCTTCGTACTTCTGCAATGTTGACCCTGCCAAGAACGAACAAGTCAATAATCACAGCGGCTGTAACATTGCCGTACAATGGCGCGCTCGACTTTCTTCCTGGGACCTCTCCAGAAGTTTGGTTGTGCCACAAAAGACACAACGCTTGAGAGATCTTGAGATTTCTCTCCTTGAAACACTCTATCACGAATCGGTCTGACCGCAAAATTTCTTGTAGATTTCGTGCTATTTTCGGGGAATAATCAGCATCGCCGTCCGCCATTCGAATCGAAGAAGCCCGAACGACCGCGATCGAAGAAGGTTGCTGTGCGTTTCGCTGGACCCGTCGTTAAATACATTTGTTGCTGGCCATAATTACGTCATTGGCATAGTCCAAGTTACTGACAAGTTCAAGCCAATTTGTGTGGGTGGTAAATTGGTTCAACCATGACAACAAAAGAGCTATTTCTGTAGAAATGCCGCCATCTTTGATGCAGTGTAGAACCCAGACCCCCAGCAGCTGTCTTGAGCTGATGACGTAATATAAAGACAAACAATAGACTGCAAGGCTGATACTACGTGAAAAACGTTTCGAGACACCAACATGACAAGAACCGATAAAGTAGGATCGCAACAGTGGACAGTTGTTTCGCCCTTCTTGGGGCTCGTCAGCACTTTGTAGCGAAGATATGTAACGAAGATATAAAACTTCAGACGTCACTTGTTCATCAGATCGCATATTTTTGGAGTGTCTTCTCCGCGCGCCATAACATCAAAGTTTTCATTTTCAACTTCATACATTTTAATTCTAATGCCATCTAAATTTTGACTGGTTACAAGACTAACAAACATCTATCTATCGACCATGGTATTTACGTGGCGAAGTTCTCTTGATATATCATATGATATATGCTTAACTAAAATATTCCTTCGTTAACTTCTCAGTTTCCCTCAAGCATCAGAACTTAGAGGTAATATTATTTTTTGGAATCGGTATGTCAAATTTTGATCATTTTTAATCGAAGCCTTATTTTTATTTTTATCATTGTTATTTTTTTTCAAATTTTGAAAAGCTTTTAAGAACCCAGTTTCTATCAACTTTCTTCAAGTCATGCAGTGTGCGAATGTCTTTACACTTGATCAGATATGTCGAATTATTACAGTACTGGCGTTCCGTAACTTGGGAGGCTAGTTTGCAAGCGCGCGGTCACTTTCTGGGCAATCTGATAGAGGGACGACAGGCACAAAGATATTATCTCATTTGATGAATCTCCAAAACCTCAGGATTAACATTACTAGAAATTTATGGTGTTCACAAAGGAGAATTGAGATCCTTTGAGCTTGGAAGTTAAAAGGGAAAGGGACATGAAACTTAGTCATGAATGTGTCAGCTGTAACAGGCATGAAAATGGCAACAAGCAAAAGTGTTTTTTCCTCGGAATCAGCTTCTTATAACTGTATTGCTGTAACTTTTGACTGCTTGTTTCCGTTATATCTTTTAGAAAGGGCGTATTGAGGAACGTTGGCCTCTTGAACAAAGGAAAAACCCACCTTAATGCTGACACAATTACAGTTAGTCAATTTCCTGAAATAAGTTTAAAAAGGAAACTTCTATTCCGGCGCTTTCTACGGAATAGAAACTACAATGCTAGGAAAGCTATCCTGTTGACAGAACCAGACAGATTAAACCTAACGAGACGATAAATCCCAGCGAGTATACTTTTATTTCTTAAACTGGAGAAGTACGAGCCATAAGAACTGCAATACCCATGACATACGGCGACCATAATGAACGTGCAACTGCGCTATGTAAATATAATTAGCCATAGCTTGTTTTTCTTCTAAACCGGGGTGGGATGGCCTTCAATTTCCTGTGTTGAAACAAAATAAGGCAGGAAAACGGAAGAGCTTTTCAATGTTTTAATGAAATGAATGAAAAAAAAACACCTCAAGTATATCGTACAAGATGTCATTTGAGTGACAAAGGCTGAGTAAGGACCGGAAAAATAATTTGAAGATCTCAAAAATAAATTTCTTTCTTTTTGCCAAAGGATTCCCTGAAATGTCGAGCAAAGTGTGTTCTCAATTTCAGGAAGAGACCGATTCAAGTCTCTTTTCATTGATAATTGTTTTCTTTCAATTGAGAAAGGGTTTCTTTTAGTTTCAAGAACAATTTTCAATTAGCACTAATTGGCCTGTCTGTCATGTTATGTATTGAAAATTACCGCAAGTGGAAACTGACTCCTTGCATTACTGTTTTTCACTGCTGGAGGATTTTATTGTCTGCCTGTCACTGGAAATGTTATTTCCCTTTCAAGGAAGTCTGCATTTTTGTCAATATAGCTGCCACGATATTGATTATCAGCTGCAAAGTAACATTGAAAAAACAAAGAGACTTTGAGGATTGATAGCTTTTTTGACTTATGAAACACCTATTCTAAATTAAGGTGGTTAGTACGGTTTGTTTCCTACAGGCCGACTGAGTACAGTCAGTAATTTTCCATATTTCGAGAGCCCTTTCCTCCGTATACATGTATGGCCACCCGGCCACCCAGATTTCGGTGGGCCTTATAGTTGGTGGTCCGATTAACGGGCTTCTATTGTACAAGCAAACATATCATTGCTAGATCGATTCAGTTAAGTAATAAATGGGCTCATTAGGAAGCTAAGAACAATGGTATAAAAACTTGACTAATTTTCAAATTACCGCATAAGGCAAGTAGTCAGTTTGACAGTTGATGCGTGGTGGACTGAAAAGTTGGATGTGTGATGCGTTTTGTTAAAAATATGGACAAAAACCCCCTTTTTATGGCCATCATAGTCATGTATCTGGCACCAGCTTTACACGTGAGTGGTACGGATAACAGTATAGCTGAGTTTTTCCGCAAAATGTCTTGAGAGGAATTTAGGTCTTTAAATCAAAGTGATCGCAGAAGACTCACCTTTCCCTGAGTCGGACTATAACGTTTTTTTTTTTCGGTAGAATTGACGTAAATAACTAACCTAGAAATTAAATATCTTTTGGTGAATTGAGAATCGATCATCAGCTTCGTAATCAGGTTTACTCGATACTAGAAAAGAAATAAAAAGAGCTAAACTGATATGGTAACATAAAAAACAAATGATACTCAACGAACAACAGAATCTGCAAAATCAATGATAGGATTTCTGTAGTGAGATTAATTGAATAGGTTAAACTTGTTTCATTTGTTAGACCACACAGCTAAATACTGGATGGAGTCTAGCTGCTAATGAAAGTTTGAAAGTTTTGTTCTTGGACCTCTTCTATGATCCTGTTCTTAATATCATTGTTACATTGCAATCCTCAGGGAAAAACAGCAACATTCAAAGTGCAAGTAAAGAATGATGGAGGAGTGTTCAATGAGGTGGTAAAGATTAACCTTGGAAGAAAAATAGAAAAATTTACCGTCCCATCTCAAGATGGCTCTCAGGCGGCAGATATCATCCACGATTTCCGTAAGGTATATACGTAACTCAGCCTGCAGGCCGCAGACTACCCGTGTTCACATACTTGACGTATGATTATCTCACCTATTTGCCGCCAAACCGCTGTGCAGATTTCGTCTGGCCAGAGGCCTGTTTTTCGAAAGCACCGGAAACTTTTCGGGCCCGTTAAGTCATAGCAAAATCTCGAACCTTACGATTACCGAACTGTTTTATTGACATATTCTTAATATGAAAAGAGGTTTCCTTTATACAAGAAGTTTCAGGCGTATATACTTCTCCGTCTTTAGATACAGATGAACTAAAAATGGCTTTACGAGCCCGAAAAGTTTCCGGAGCTTTCGAGAAACGGGCCCCTGAAAGTTAAGTTTACCGGGTAAAATTCAGGAAAGCCGGTCAAAATGATATGTTTTCTTCATTTCTTCAGCCATACGTTTACTGCACCAAATTACCATTTACAAATCTGTTCACTTTCAAGTTCCGCACAACTTTCCGATCTTTCCGACTGGTTTTTACGTTATGGCTATGTAACGAGAATTTTCTATGAATTACAACAGCTTAAAATCTAGGAGACCCCAAGAAGTATCGCCGGAACCGGTGCGGAAGGCAAAGCAAGCAGTATTCGTCCCCGGGAAACATCGAGATTCGAGAGAAAATAAAAGTAACTCTTTCCCTCGTGGATCAGTGATTAAAATGAATATATAGCCAGTAACCAGAATGCTATTTAGGCTAACCGGAGTACTGTTTCAGGGACGGATCCAGTGGGAGGGTGCAGGGTTGCGCAACCCCCCCCCCCCCCCCCCCCCCCCCCCCGGCAACCGCCTTCCTAATATAACTGGGACAGTGAGAAAAAAAAAAAAAAAAAAAAAAAAAAAAAAAAAACTCAGTAACTCAGTTTATTCATAAGACAGGTACTGAGACTTTTGCGTTAAAACNTGGACCTCTCTTTGTTATGGTCATCGCGAAAGTTGCAGGTCACGCGCGATTTTGTGGAGGACTCGCGAGCTGAGAAAATATCGCTAATCTCTGGCGTGTTTCATTTTCATCGCTTGTCAAATTACTCAGTACCGCGAGATGCCGCCTTCATCTTATCAAAAAATGTCACGCCTTATCGAATTACTCAGGGACAGATCATTAGCCAGAATGGTGAAAAAATTAATTGCTTTTCGCAGTGGGACGTTTAATGATAATTGCTAAAAAACCTAGGGTCCTTAGCAACTCCGGCGTCATGTGGTGTGCAAAAAAAAGTCGTCTGCGGGTCCTCATGGGCTAACCGGATTACTATCAAGGCTATAACTGAAGTGCTATTTAGGCTATCCGGAGTAATACTTAGCCAAACCAATTGCTGAAACTTTGACTGCCGGTCATTTAATCTATTTAAACGCTTGAAAGGCTGCGGGTTACTACAATACTTCGTTTTCTTTAAAACGGGGTAAGGAAATTAGCGATTAGGTGGATTTAGCCAACCATTATATTACGTAAATCCGAGGCTTTTCAAGGTCTAACCGGCAGCGCTAGAACTGTATGGTACACTCGGGTCTATTTTCAAATCAGATATAAAGATTTTCAACTGAATTCCATCATGCATTTAACCATTTTGTTCTTTCAGAAATTGACGATGATCACTTTTCCGGAAAAGCAAGTGTGTTACTTGGCGCGGCTCAGTGGCAATCTACCAAACCCATTACAGCTGTTTCTTGCCATTAAAAAGGTAAAAATAAACTGACAAAAAGTGCTGGAAGATCTTCATCGATCGCAAATAGATACTATAAAGTCAAAACACGGTCTCGGAAAGGTCTCAATTGATGGGTTTGTCCGGAATGGAGTGTTTGCTAGCATTTCGGTTGCATTCAGATCAGTTGTTGCTGATCGCATGAGTTGATTGTGAATCTGACGGCAAATGGTCAATTCTCAGGCTATGGCACGCGTCTGCTGGGAATCATGGAAGTTGTATTCAAAACAAGTATCCAGTCCCAGAAGATGAAATACAACTACCACTGAGATTTTGTAAAGGCACGATCTTGAGGGAGTTGGCCGTTCTTTCGGCGTATAGGTCACTTTATTGTATTTTTTTATTTACCTAAGTGAGGGCCACAAGTTTTTTAGTGAATGTTCACTATTATATGTTAACCCTCGATAGGTAAAGGCTTTACTTACTTACTTACTTTCTTATTAATTTATTCCGATTAATATTGATGCTCCGCAACTGCAATTTTTGGTTGACAGATAAGACGCAAGCGATTCCATCAAAAAAGAAGTATTAAAAATTCAGTATTGTTGCCTGGTTCTTTTTTTTTTTTAATCCTGGTACCATCATATTGGCACACTGATTAATCGCGCGTCCATGTACAACCAATCAGCCAAAGAGATTGGACTTAATTATCCAGCTGAAAAGTCGCTCAACTGGCCGGTGACCAAGACAATCACAAACGTCCTTATTGCTTTGATGGCGTGTTAACTTACTGGCGAAGGTTTCAAAATGTTAATTACGCACTTCCACTTTAAACTGAGATTCTAGCCCGGCTGGTGTGTATCTGTGTGTGTGTGTGTGTGTGTGTGTGTGTGTGTGTGTGTGTGTGTGNCTGGTCTCACTTACGGTGTTGATAACGAAACCCCACCATTTTTAGTGGTCAAATTATCTTTTGGAATGCACTCGAGAAAATAATAATGGAAAAAATGCTCTTATTTCGATTTTAAGGCTCGATTTCCGCCAGTCTCTCGAGTCCGGTCAACTAGCGCTGGCTCCTTCCCTGAACAGCGGCTGCTAATGGAACCTGTTCCGTTTTAAGTGGTATCTTATAGGGGTCAAATAAAGCTGCAGCCACATCCAGATTGGTCTCCTTTAGGGGTTTCATTCAAATTTTCCGACGAACAACCCCGACCTTTTCATATGGGATTCAATTCTAGATCTGAAAACAAAATCCTTTCCAGGACTGTTTATGGTACAGTCTTCTTGAGGTAAAATTTCGTCATAGAGCTACATGTATTACAACCAAGAATCGTACAGCTTGGCTTGGTCTATCTACGTACACCCCTTTTACAAACATTACTTACATCCTCTTTATAGAAATTACTTTCTCTCCAGGCCACAGTTGCTGGGAGAAACGATTCTAACGTCGACAGAGTGAAAATCACAATGGAAGTCAAGGGATTGTTTCAATATCACACCAGTCTTAGTGAGGCCATGCGAAAACAGTGCCGAAGCTTCCCCATTTATCGCATCGAACCAGTTGAAGAAGTCATCTCCATCACATCAATCTCTAACCATGCTGGCAAGTGCAGATCAAGTGATCATGTAAAGAATAAATTCTTAGTTGTGACCAAGCAATGGCACTGGTAAATGGAGGGACCATAGAATCTCATGAGAAGTCAGGGCGACGGGAGATTTTTTACCTGGAAGTGGGCAGGGCTTCGTTCAACTCTAAAGAGATCAAATTCTAGAGATCATTGGCATGGGAAGGGGGACTTCAGGACATAAAAAAGACCGATTCAAGTTTCTTTTCATTGATAATAATTTTCCTTTCAATTGGGGTTTCTTTTGTTTTCGGAACAATTTTTACGTAGCTCAAATTGCTGTCTGTAAGTACATTTATGTGTTGAAAATGATCACAGGAAGAGAAAATCACTGGAGCCAAATGTATGCATATGCAAGGCCTATTTATCCCCCAAACTTAAACATCTTTTGATGAGCGCGGAAGAGGCAATTATAACAGGGCCTTGATCAACTCCAAAAAGATCAAATTCTAGAGGGGAACATTAGATTATGCAGGGCCTATTTATCCCCCAAACTTTAACATCTTTTGATGAGTGAGGAAGAGGCAAATATAACAGGGCCTCGTTCAACCCCAAATAGATCAAATTCTAGAGGCGATCATTAGATTAGAAAGGGGAGCTCAATCGAAGCCAACGTCGAAGCTCCTTCAGTAATGCGGTAAGACTAGTGAGTTTGTGTCTTCAGTTTTAAGACATGTAGATTTCTCACTTAACATGGCTCTTGTGTACTTTGTTATTTGATTTTATCAACATAGGATCAAGGGTAAGACTGAATTAATCCCTTATTCCCAAGGGAATCCTTCTCAAGTTATTTTAAGTTATATTCCATCATATATTTTCGCTCACGGGTGATTGGTCTAAACACGTCACATGACTGAATACGCCACAACTAAAACTGGGGAAGATCTGAGTGATATTCCCAAATCCTCAAAACTGCATGGGTTGCAAAAAAATATTTGAAGGGGTGCATGGGAAAAGACCCTAAGTGACATCAGATAGACTGCAAGATTCTCCTTGCAAATCGCTTTTCGCTTCCTTCTATGAACAAGGAGAATTCAATATGAGATGAAAAGTCACTCGGGGCTTTTTTCAACACACCCCTTCATTTGAACACGGTAGCCTCCACAGACATTGTCTATTGGCTTCTCGGAACAGATAATGTCCACGGACAAATATGCGAGCACGCATAATGGAGGGTGATGTTTATGTATGGTACCCGGCCAGTTCTACCATGAATATTTCCACCCTCATTTTCATGGAGGAGGAGGAAGGGTGTAAAGTTAAGCAGCCTGGGCAGTCCACATGAGCAAATCCACGACACAGGATTGGCTATCTCTAAACCTTCCCAGTATTTTGGAAACTGGGAGTGATTTGAAAACAATTTGGGCAGGATTACATTAGAAAAATGCCCTATATATGAACCACAATCTCCATTTGGCATGAAAATATGCTGGGAAATTTGTTAGCAGACATCATCTGTTCCTCACGGCTCTCTTGCTTCGCGGAAGAATTAATGTCCAAGGAAAAATATCAGAGCATAAAAATTATTTTTGCACCAAATGGAGGCTATTGCGTTTATTATCCTTCAAATATTTTTTGCAATGTGCACTGTTTTCAAAATTGGGGAATATCTCTTGGATATTCCCCAGTTTCAGCTGGGACAGTTGTGACACATTTAGAAAAATCGTGCATGAGCGAAAATATTTGATGGACGATAAAGGCAGTTAACTATCCCACCCTTCATCTTTTCCTGCTTTACTTTATTTCAGGGGATGAGCCGGACTACTCAACATATCGCAATCGTCGAGGCCCTTGCTCTGGCTCTGTTTGTGATAGAGAGGAAGAATGTTATCCAAAACAATGTGGGGCTTCAATATGCTATGAATGCAAAGAAGTGAAAGTCTGCAATCAAATCAACTGCTAGATATTGCTTGTTTCGCAGCGCTGACTTTGGAGGCTGAGGGAAATTATTCATCAATTGTGTAGTTTTAATATTAAACATAAACTACATAATTAAATCAATAAAAAAAACCTTGTTTCAAAAAAAGCAAATATCTTTAGTAGTTTATCTTGATTTATCTCTCAAAACTATTGACCAGGGGGAGAACTCCAAGGCAAATTGTGTGGGGGTATGCCTAATGCTAAAATGCTGCTTTTACAGGCCTGGAGCACCCAAGTACTGTTTTCTCTCAAATATGCTTTAAAATGCTGTTTTGGGCTATCTGGAGTGCATTTAAAGCTCGGCAAAGCTTTTATCTGTTTGGCCATACTAAGGGAACTTGAGTCTGGTTCTCAAATTTGGCCATTGTCAATTTCCCGAAAATCTTAGGTCCACTTGCCTTTCCAAAATAATATTATAGCTGACCTTTTTTTCGATACTCAAAACAACGTTTTTATCAATACAAAACAACAGGAATTAATTTTTTTTGTAGCCTGCAATGCAGGCATATTTTGGCAACTGAGCTCAAGCACAATCTTGGATTCAAACTTGGAAGAGGCTTGCAGACAAAAAAGTGTCCTAGTTCCTAAACCAACATGGCAGTAAATCTACTTGATCATGAGCAAATACCGATAACTCATGAACACACAGAAAACGCATGTGCTGCAGACTAAATTTTTCATATTACAAAAGTTTGAGGTGACAATTCTCTTAAGGAAATCAGAGGGCATTATAAGAGGGGAGTGTAAGACCTACAAAGTACCTTCCATCAAGAACAATGAGGATTAATGGAAGGTATGTGACGTAACATAACAAATGTGACTGAGAAGACACAAACCACAAAAGAAAATGGGTGAAAAATGGAAAAAATGCCCAAAATAATTTCTTGCCCATAAAATTTTGCTTTGACTGCATGCCTCAAAAGAATATTGATTAGAAATAATTGCCTGGAAGTTAAAGGGAATGTAAGTTTTGGTTATTATTTTACTATCAATGTAGATTTTCAAGCTTGCAGAATAGATGATAGACAGGCCATCTTGCTAAAAGTAAGTCTGGAATTCACCATTCACCATGCATCCCTCGATATAAATTATATTCCAAATAAAACTCAAAATGATCTGTTAGATACTTAGATGTATCTACAGTTAAGCGGAACAAATAAAAACAACATACTGCATAATTTTCAACTTTTTAATGGCATAATTATTTACACAACTTATATACACTAATATGGACAAAAGAATAAGTATGTTTTTGCACTGAAGTGCTCTGTCATACCATTATAAAAACTAAAACCAAAAATATACTTATATTACAAAGAGAATGTTGCGGATGCCTGGGCAAGGCCTTGACGTCTGAAAGGAAAGAAATAAAGTCAGTGCTTTTGTCTGCACAGGATCGGTGGGCCACAAAAAATCTAGGGCTGGGCAACCTGATGAAAAATGCTAGTGTTTAGTTATGAAATGATCCAAGAAGCTCACCGGGATACTTGGAACATGGTCATCATGACCATTGTTCCATCGCCTAGCAAGCTTCATGCTCATGAGGTGCTTAGCATTTTGTCAGAAGGAACCAGTTGGAATGACTATTTAACAATGGTATGGGTTTTTGCAAAATCAACAAACCAACTGAGAGAGAAGTTGCTTCCAAGTACCAATTATCTGTGGAGGAAATCCATGATTTCTGAACGGCTTTTCTGGATAATATTACTTAAGTACATTAAGAGACTTTTTCTGACCCATGATGTTCCATTTATGTATACATTTTTCAGTTCCTTATATTCATTCAAAGACAGCTATAGAGTCCTCACAAGCCTACATGTACCATTTAAACATTAATGTTTGAGTATCAGTTTTGGCAAGAACAAAAAAACTTGCTCAAATTCACCAAACCTTTCAATCTGTATCTCACATCCTAACTCTCACTTGACAAAAAGAGTTTCAACTGATCATGCAGAGTACCAGTATTTCCTTCAAGAAATTCACTTACGCCTCTTTTAAGAATACTTCGGCACTTATTCTGTCTACATCACCACCAGGAGGATCTCGGTCAAATTTTTTTACTCCCAGTGTTTCAAGACCTGTTAACAAGCAAACCACCAATGAAAACAGAAGCATAATATGTTGATTACACATTCACATCTCAAACATCTCAACAACTTACTGTAAATGACAAAAAAAATAAACATGTGACATAACTATGAAAAATAGAGCAGTTTTTAATTGAGTGCGGTAAAACCAAAACCAAACTATTAAATCACCCTAGCCAATCACAAAGGATGTAGACAACACAGTGAGCTATTCAAAACTCAAGCAATTATATGTACATTATGCAGCTGATCCTAAGCAGGGAAAAAATCATGTGCAAACAAGTCCCGATTGGTTTTGGTCTGCTACCTTCTGATTGAATGAAAATTGGCACAAGTTTATTAAGCCAATCGCAAAACGTTGCAAGTGTAACACCAATTATTTTTTGACACTCAAATGAAAAAAGCTCTATTGCTATACACGTGATATTGCTGGGATGAGGAGCATGTATAAGCATGTTGGGAGAGACACCCTGGATACTGAGATGATTAAAATTATATTGCTGGTAAACGTTTTCTTTTCAAACTCTAAAAATAAAGACATTGTAAAACTTTAATACATGTACGATAAGTCACCTTGTTTGTACTGTTCGTAGGTTATGAAGCCTTTGCCAGTAACATCTAACATTCCAAACAAGGACCTCACATTGCTGTCATCAAATATACACGGGTAGTTTCTTTGCACCGTTCTTGCATCTTTTAATTTTTCCAGGAACTGTTTCATATATGCTTTCGGATCCTCTGTGAAACGGCACATACAACAACGTTAACTGAGGTAGATTTACGTTTATTTTGAGCTTTAACATAGACATTACTCGATATAAGTTAACGATATTAAGACTCTTTAATATTCACATACATTTCTTTATATTTCGAACATACAAACAGACACGCCGCTTGTATGGGCCCCCCGTGGAAGAATCAATCGTAAAAAAACTCAAAACTTTAATTTTCGGCTTATCTTTGAGGTGCTAGCAAAACATTTAAGCATCGTAAATATCAATCAATTGTTTTTAGAAGTATTCACCTGGTCTTTCGTAGATCAACTGTGCCGTTAGATTCTCAAATAGTTCCATTATCTTGTGCTTTTTGAGGTACTCTTGAGCATCGCTCTCCTTGTTCGCCATTTTGTTCGCAGTTGATGTTTCCTTAGCAACAGGGCAAAGTCAGCGGTGTACCGTTTCATTCCCAGTGGTTGCGCATAGTACTTTCCTGTCGCGTGAAACGCCTGACTGTTTCTGGCAGTTCGCATTCGTATTGGTGAGATCTATCCGCTCAGTGAATTGCTGGTCTGAGCAAATGATAGCAGAGGATATATCAAAAGGAAAGGAAAACGTTAAGGTTCCAGTGGTGAATGAGCTCAACGACGAAAAGCCTAGCGAATTTGGGGTAATTATAACCGAATGCTTTATTTTAAAAGCACCAACCTTTCCCGCGTGCTCGTAGTCAGCTGCAGACTACGTTGAGTGCACTGCCGCAGCTGACGGTAGTGAGTTCTTGATTAGACACAGCTTCTTAACAATTTTTGCGGGCACAAATTCTAGGTTATTGTATTCCTACATTCCCTAAACTTGTGCTGAAACTCGTTTCAATTTTTTTTTTGGTTTGTTTACTTGCTAATTCTTTATAAGGTGATTCTTTCAGGATTTCAGGCAAGGTTGTTAAAAAATGATTTTAAAAGATCTACAGGTTTCTTTGTTTTATTAGTGTTTTTTTCTTTTTTGTTTGTAGTACACCCCATTCTGCATAGGTGGGCCAAATGTCAGCGAGGCATTTAATTCCCCATTCTACACTGGATGTAGATGTCAGCAACTCTCATGTACCATGGATATCTGCTCTTGCTTAGAAAGATATGGGCCATTTTATGATGAAGATGGATGTCTTCAAATCTACAATCAGCCAACTGGTAAGTGCATAAAGCTTATTACACTTTATCATATGGCTTGTGTTTGAAGCTGATATAGCACACTCTCTGATTGACTAATCCTGAGTCATTATTAACTACTTAATAACCGAGAGTGAGGTCGTTACGGGAAAATCTCAAACTGAGGCCTTGCCGTATTGACCGAGCGATAGCGAGGTCAATACGG